AATCGCTCTAAAAAATTTTGTGGTGATCTGTCCATAATTGACCCTACCCTCCATTTAAGGTCCCCATCAGAAAATTACTTTAAAGTTCATTACTGGCTTAAAAATGCGAGTACAAAATCTCTCTACCAATTTTTATGAGGGTCAGTCCATTATAAACTAAAATCTTCCTAACTACTTTTATGTGAATTGGTCCATATATGTATAAATAACCCTACTCCCTATATAAATTAATATATTTATTTCGAAAGAGCACTATCAATAGTTAAAACCCCATTAATGGACCTCTTTCAAATATTTCCCTGATGTTCTCATTAATATCGACATATAATAATAAAATATTCAAAATATAAGTTTATTTATATGGCAGTGATTTGATGGTGGGTATAAAAGATTCGGCATAGACGAATATAACACTCTTACTTGTTTCTTTCTGAACAAATTTTTAGGGAGTTATTTCATTTTTGTTTTGGGGAGTTATTTCGTGGGGAGTTATTTCATGACGCCTTTTATTTCTCTTTAATTTAGGAAGTTATTTAATTTCGTTTGGGCTTTTTTTCATTTTTAAATTGGGGAATTATTTCATAATGAAAAAAGTCCCCAAAGTTGAGGAGTTATTTCATTTTTGTTTTAAGGATTGGCTCCTCCTCAGAAGACCTCTAGCCTAGAAACAACAACTTTAGTGTTTTTCAAGCTGAAATATTTACGATATCAGTCTGCAGGGCACTATATGATCTCAATATTCGTGGCAACATATTTTTTCACTAAATTTCCAGATCAAGAATGAACTGTCAAGGCAGGGTCGCCTATCTGTCATTACATTGTTTGGGCCCCTGACTATTATGTAAATGAACAGGCAGATGAGATTGCCAGAACAGGATCTGCTCTTGATACTCCAACGCCGTTTCAGTAGCAAATCCGTAAAGTTGTAGCAAAAGCAGTATCCTCAGATTCATTCTTCAAAAGGCTGAAAATAGATGGACATGCACATGCAAAGGGGCCAAGTTAATGAATGTGGCCATCCTGCAATGAGAAACCCACAAGACTCCTTAAAAACCAAAATAGTGTGATATATCAAGGTTTGTAGCAGTAATTACAGAACACTGTACACATGGGCAGACATGCAAGTAGGCTTGGACTCCCCTTCAATGAACACTGTCGCAGTTGCAAGGACAGGGAAAAGGAAGAAATGGTCTTCCATCTTCTCTGCGAATATCCTACTCTAGCCGTTAAGAGAAACAATTTTCTTGGCAGTCACTTCATATCCAATCTTTGTGAAATATCTGCGTCTTAACTTAATGACATCTTAAGATTTCTCACAGCATTAATTACATTAACTACTGTCAAAGCGGAGTCTCTTCGACTTTACTTCATTGTTCGCAAGCATTGAACTACCATGGTAACCAACCAACCTTTTACTTTAAGAGCTTTTTGGTCGCATAGTGGGATATGTACCAAAATAAATGTTTTGTAACTCCCTTGCATGAAATGGAACAAATACCAAACTAGTATTTCACTAGTTCCAAAATCACCTGTACTAGCTCCCAATTGTAAACTTTCCTATACCACCTTAATGCTCAAATTAACATTGAGTGTGTTTGAAAAAATACTAGCACTATTAGTTCTAGATTTATACTAGTACACTTGGAACCAATTGAATCCTTTAGAACCAGTTTATTACTAGTTCTAATAACAAAGTCCCTACTTCTATGTAGTGGTTTTGCTCTTTTGTAATCCTCCTGCGTGGTTTGCCGGATCTTATATACCCTTCACCATAGTGTGTTTAAAATTTAATTTTATTTTTCGACTCTACCATTACTTTAGCAATAGCAAACACCAAAAAAAAAAAAAAACAATAAAACCAACACACATCCAAATCAGTACCGCAATTCTGTAATTTTTTTATTTTAACTACCGATATCGTAAAGTAACGACAAATATCGGTTACATTAACGAATTTTCAATTCACTAACTTTTTAACGACCTTAGAATACATAGATAACATAGATAGCCAACTCAAGCTTTACCACGAATAAAAGAGCTTTCTCTCTTTACACTTACATGTTCTGCGTGAATTCAACACAAAGCTACAACAACAAATATTAAATATTTAAACTCCAAAATTCGCGCAAAAAAAACGATTCGGGCACAATTTTTATAACACAAACACACATTTTTTACAATTATTTTAATATAATTTCTCCATCAAAATCTTTTTAATTTTCACAAATCAAAAAATTTTATTTTTTAATTATTTGACATTTTATTTTTGTTTTTCTAATTTCAAATTGAAGGTGCAGCATTTTTTAGTAGTAAACAAATTTATGAAAATAGAAAAAATTAAAGAATTTTACATTTTAGCAAATACAAAATGCTTCAAAAATATTATCATGCTTTTATAAATGCAATCCACAATTTTAAATGTATTAACTTAAGAAAATTATTGCAATAAAAACATGGTACTATCATTTCGACCATTTTTGTGCAACTATGTGGGTATTTTATGTGTGGTAAAAAGCTTTTTTAAACTAATACTTCTAAAGAAAATCCTACTAATACATGCTTATAGTTAGGTTTTTTTGACAGCTGAGTTAGGTTTTTTCGGAGAGAGTTGACTCTCTAGTCTACTCTATGTTAGAATACATATTTTATCGACAAAGATATAAGAATGTCAAAAGCATAGAAAAGGTATACATAGAACTGAAACTGAGTATGACAAAACCTAAGTCTGCTGTCAAAAACCTAAGTCGTGAGAATGTATTAGTTGAAAAATATGTAACCCAACAAACACAAACTCTTTCGTTTAAAAAGTTTTTATATTTTTGTTTGATATTATATTTCGATATTTTATGAAATAATGGTTTGAATTAGCCATTTTTATTCAATATCAGTTGACCAATGTAAGAAAGATCTTCATTAAAAATTATTTTTAATTTTAAATAAACTCTTTGTGGTTGCTGGGTTGAGTCAATATTGACACTTGAAAATAATATTAAAAAATAAAAACGATTGAAAAATTTGTTTTTTTTTCTGAAAATGTTTTCAATAATTTTATGGGAAAACATAACTTTTAGCAGTGTTTATTGCAGCAGCAGGGGCTATTTTGTTAAAGGAATTGTGCTAATGCTAAAATTAACGCTTGATATGAACGATTATTGTTAATTTCAAAGCAGCCAAATGCAGTCAAAATACACCCTACACCACACTAATGGGAACGGTATTTTGTTTACGTCTTAAAGTTTGTAACATCTGCGTCGATGTAATGATGTAATCCGCCCATAAATTAGCCTATTGAACTTTTTTGTAAGCGGTACATGCTATACAAGAATAGGGTATTTATAAAATTCGACTCAACAAATTTTATATATACGAAATTTTGACTATATATTGTTATAATGAGTAGTACATTCATTAATTAAGCAAACATCAATCTCTTGAATATAACTTCTACATTAAAAAATACTAAATAACTTATTGCTACTTACTCGCAATGTGGTAGGGTATGATGTATTCGGATACATTTTGTACTTTCATATTTTTGTTATTTTATGTAAACAAAAATAAAAATACTCATACAATTATATTAAATTCACACAGAACCTGTACATGTGAGAGAGTAATATTTCTTATTCTCAGTTTCAGTTCTATTTATTTTTCTATGGTCAAAAGTTTTGTATTGAAATATTTTTAAAATATAAAATTATTAACGTGAACTTTTTATTGGTCGTTACATTTTGTTAACTAATGATTATGTTCAACGAAAAAAAATCGGTGAAGTAAAATTCAGAATATCACATAACGATAATTATTGTTAACTTACGAATTTTTTCTATTTAAAGACAAAATTTTGTAGTTAAAAAATTACCGAATTGCGGTACAGAGGTTGTCTCGGATTTTTGCTCATATCTCCCTTATTTATCTACGGATTTAGCTGTTTTTAAATAGGAAACTTTTCGAAAGCAAGTCTGATATAATTATTGATGTTTTGGGTTCCGAAGACATACAGACGGACATGGCTTAATCGACTCCACTATCTATAAGGATTCAGAATATCATGATAACACGGATTATACAATCAATGATGATACGGACAGAACCGTAATTTGCTCAAACTTTAATTTTGAATTGTTAGGTAAATGTATTTACAACATTTGTCCAAAAATTCCATTCATGTATCGCCATTGCCTAAGATAAAACAAATATTAAACTTATTACAATTTTAAATTTAATATACGTACTTACAGGCTGCATGCAACTGAACCTAAATAGTTATTTACTACCCAGCAAAAAATATTCTGGATTTGGAAGCAATAAATATGATTACTGCATCTTCTACTGCTACATTTATTGCATCCTAAAATTATTGCCTTACAAAAATGATTTTGGAAGGCATACATTCAGCTATTCGTGTAGGTGGTGAATTACTTAGAAAAAATCAGCGCTTCTTGTTAGACAATCACTGGATCTGTAAGATCTCGTCAGCTTTAAAATCTGTAATTCAGTTTTGATATTTTCTAATATTGATATTTATAAAACATTTCCATAACAATTAATTATTTTTCTTCTAATTTTTTTTTAATTATAAATAGGTATACCAATTTATAAAATTTACACTATTAATGAATTTTAAAGAATTGTTAAATTAAAGTAGCAAGTTATATAAAACTCAAATTTAATTGTGCTAAAAATTTATTACATATGTATGGTATTACATATAAATATCAGTTTTTATAAATTTAGAAACTTTTTCAGAATACATAAAACAACAACAATACTACATACATATTTCTAACGGTAAAATCCACAATAGAATAAAAAACATATCAGAGAACATTTTATAAGAACTGTGTTGAGAGAGAAATAATTTGCTAATATTTTCTACGTAATTCTCTTTTTTAGTATTTGTTTTTACTGCTTCGTGTAAGCACTAACAGAAGGCGTAATAATTTTTTGGTACCAGAAATAAATAAATATTGTAAATAATTGTAAAAATAGTGCTTTTCCGTAGATCACACTGCTGCGCAGAAGCACTAAAGTAAGGCAAAAATTATAATAATGATTTCTCGATTATACACGACGGATAATTCAACTAAAACGAAGATTAAGATGATGCAATATTTATTAAAATTACATTTAGTTCTGATGTGTCGTTCTTTAAATCAAGTGAGTAAGCGCATAAAAGTGATAGTGTTAAAATAAAAAAGTATAACGGTTTAAAAACATACATACGCATTTGCACACAGTCATATAAAAGTGAGTTTATGTATAAAAATTTAATAATTTATTAAAAAAAAAAATATGGTAGGTCGAAGTCAAATCAACAAATTAATAAAAAAAGAGAAAAACAAAAATGCATTAGCTCTACTTAGAGCATCTTCCATGGGAAGAACTGATGGTAATGAGTTCGAATCACGTTCAAATATTGAAGACTTTTCTCTGCAAGAAATTAGGGATAATAGTGATACGGATGTAAAGGAATTAAAGGATGAATTAAAAGAATGGTATTTAAAATACAGACCCTCATATGAATGCACTACATCTTTATTAAAAATATTAAATAAAAGGCATTCTGAAATACCTTTAAGTGTTATCAGTTTATCTGGAAAACAACAGCCTGTTTCTAAACGGACTGTAGCTCCCGGTACCTATTTTCATATAGGGATTAAAAATAATCTGAATAAAATAATTGATGTTATAAAAGACGAAAATGTCAATAAATTAGTTTTTGGACATTGGAATCGACGGTCTGCCCGTATTTAAAAGCAAGGATAGGGGTTTATGACCAATATATTAGGCCGCATTGTAAATTTACCAATGGTAAACGTTTTTTTGATAGGAAGTTATGTTGGCGAAAAAAAACCATTAGATATTGATTTATACTTACATGACTTTGTTTATGAAATTAAAGATATAAAAGAAAATGGGTTTCTAGTCGAAGAACGTAAATTGGACATAATTATCCGTGCATTTTTTGTGACACGCCAGCCCGCTCTTATGTGTGTGGGATAAGAGGTCACAATGCCTTAAATGGTTGCAGTAAATGTGACCAGAAAGGAATAAGTATCTCAAATGTGACAACTTTTAGTAAATTTGTGGGTAAATTACGTACTGATACCGATTTTAAATACAGACGTGATCAAGATTTTCACCAACCAAAATTTTTAAATATGCAAATGTCGCTAGAAAGTCTAGACATAAAAATGATAACTCAATTTCCCATTGATATCATGCATTTGATAGATTTAGGAGTAATGAAAAGAATGCTTTTAAGACTGCTAACATCTAAGACAAACGAACGCCTATCAGCTCAAACTAAACAATCAATGTCATCATTAATGATATCTCTATATCCATTTATACCACGCGAGTTTGCTAGGAAGCCTCGTTCTTTTGAAGAAATAAGAAAGTGGAAAGCTGTCGAATTTCGACAATTTGTACTTTATACTGGGCTCATTGTAATTAAAAAATTTACAAGTGAAAACTTTTTCAAACACTTTTTGCTTTTATCGTGTGCTTATCGCATTTTAATTCGAAATAATATTAGACAAAGTGAAATACATCAGGCTCATGAAATTCTAAAACAATTTGTGGAACAATTTCCAAATTATTATGGAGAAACAAGCATTACCCATAATGTGCATAATCTTCTACACCTAAAAGAGGTTGCACTAGAATATGGAAATCTTTCAAATATAACAGCATATCCATTTGAAAATGCTATGACCTCTTTAAAAAGATCAATTAAAAAGTCTCAACACATTGAGCAACAAATGTTTAATGTTTTTTCCAAAATACCATTGGCAAAAAATACGGTCGAAAACGGAATCAAACGTGGTAAAATGGGAAACGTAATATTTTACAAATCAGAAAATTTGTATTTTAATATAAAATTTCAAGATAGTTTTTGCTTAATTTCTGATAATACACCTGTCAAAATTACAGCTTTTCTAGAAAATGATATGTTTAAAGCCCATGTTTTTATTAACACTGAAGATATGTTTTCAGAACCCATACGATCGAAGGATCTTGGCATATTCGTTGTTAATTTAAATGTATATAGAGAAGAAACATTTAAACTTCAAGAAATAAGCGGCAAATTAATATGTTTGCCATATGAAAGTAGCCATTTATTTATTTCATTTTGTCATTGCTCTTAATGATTATATTAAGTTGGTCCATCCAAACATTTGTTTGGGCTTTATTAATAAATAATAATAAATAAATAAATAACAATAAATAAAAAACAGTAATTAGATATTTTACATTTTTAGAATATTTTTTTACAAAATGGGACGCTCTAGACCTGTGAAGGAATCTTCTACTAAAACAAATCCATCAACAACCATTGAGACTGCATCAAAATTGGAAAAACTCCAAAAAAGTATAGAAGAACTTCAAAAAGGTATAAACTTGTTAAGTAAAACTATAAAAAAAAAACCCTTAAATTATAAATGTATTTTAACATAATTAGTAAACAGCGACATGGCTAAAGAAATTAAGGAATTAAAAGAAACATTTTGTGGACAAAACAAAATAATTGTAGATCTATTGTCTGAAATGCATGTCTTAATAAAATCAAATTTAACCTCCACTGCAGTGGCCACAAGATATTTGGACAAATTTCCTCTTAAATCTAAATCGGAAATGGACGATATAGAACTAGAAATTTCTGATGAAAATATGGAAGCTATGGTAATAAAACTACACTAATATTTATTAATACACCTAAATTTTTATTATTCCTTATATTTTATTTCAGACTCACACAATTAAAAAAATAGTGGGAAGAAATGGTATTAAGAAAATGCTAACAGCCATTTTTGATAAACATCTGCTACTAGAATTTAACGTTGATGGAAGACAAAATAAAAAAAGACTCTTAGACTACCCAAAACTTATAAATTTAATTTACAGTAAGTTAATTTAATAAATTTATAATTTTATTTATTTCATACTTGTTTTTATTTTTTTTTCAGAATGTGTCTATAAAGACGAAATGTTGACAAAAAAGGCCTTTTATGATGAAATAAGAAAAGGCATTCGCTTGGCAAAAAATAGACGTTACAAAGAAGCATCCTTTAAAAAAACTTAGCAGCTTAGATTAAATGACATTCAAAGTAATTCTTCTAATGATGAAAATAGTTTAAATTATTTAAATACAAAGGAAAATGAATTATCTTTAATGGATTTTTAACTATTTTTTTTCTTAAATTTCATTAATTTTCTTTTTTGGAATAATTTATTTTTTACTCTTATTGCTGAACGAAATATTTTTTTATAATTAATTTTTTATTCTTATTCATTTTTTAAAACACTTGTTCTTTTTTCAATTTCCAATAATTTGTAAATTTTGTTATTATTGAACAGACCAAATATTTTGTAAAAATATTTATACTTATAAAATATTATTATACTTTACATTTTTAAAAACTCTTAATTATTAGAATGAAAAATTTACAATAAACTTTTATGTCGGTATTATTTTATATCCTTTATAAAACATGAATAATCAATAATATTTAGTTATTAGTGTGAAATTAATCAATATAATATGTTTTGTAAATGATCTCTTTTTTAGTTCTTATTCATAAAAATTACATGTTGATAAAAATAAAATTATTTCTATACATAAACTTTTATCAGTTCTTTTTTTTGGGGTGGTGGGGGTGTTGGTAGAGGAAATGGCTTAATAAAGCATTACTAGAATGCCTTCTTTAATACATATTAAAGAAGGCGTGAAAGTATCCCTTTTTTAAGGCATGAATTACCAACATAGTGGATGCTGTGTAAAAGGCAACTGGATCGTGCTTCCGCGAGCACCTGATATAATCAATTCCGAAATGCACAATTATTTGTATATATTTAATTCGATGAAATCAGGTTAATTTAAAAGCTGTGAAATATGCTTATTTTGGATTCCTTATGCAGAGCCTTTACGCGAGGAATCCAATATAAAAATCATGTAATCTTTCATGCGAAGTGGTAGCAGTATACAAGTGCTCTCTGCCTTACAAACCTGCTTCCGAGGGAGCACCATTTTTTGCTGGGTATTTATCCTCTTATTTGAAATTTATTTTACTGTCGTGTCCAAGTTTGTCTTTTCGTATATTTGAATTTGCGGGCAATATTTTGATTTCTAACAAGTTAGAGTGCTATATTCGGCTGAGTCGAATCTTAAATACCCTCCACCAGCCACTTTTAATTGATCAAATATTTGTGGAAATAAGTTTTCTCATATTTTAATAGAAAAACCCCACTATTTAAATAGCTTAAATCTGTTACAATTGCAAGATTTATTGAAAATTACCAACACTATTTTCTTTTAAATTTTTAAAGCGCCCTAAAATATGCTTTAGCGATATTTAATAATTTTCATGTATGCGTGTGTGTGAAAGATTTAAGGAAATTAAAATATATTGTTACATATACACAAATTGTTTATACCAAACAAATTTTACTGAAGATAATGCAACTAGTTAAATACGTTTAAAGTAGTTTTCGGGAAGGGACATAGTATGGGAGCTATGACCAATTATAAACCGTAAAAACTATATTAAGTGGACCAATCGAAAAAAACATTTAATGGCTGTTTCATAATATCGAAACAACATTTTCTTTCTTATATGCCATTTACACCAACCAAAAACTAGTAGTTTTTGGCTTTATTTGGTTTTTGTTTGAAAAACTACTTAATATGCCGTTTAGACCAAATCAAAAACCAGTTGGGTTTTGAAAAACTAAATTTCAAAAACTAATACGTTTATACCAACGGTTTTTGATTTTGTTTACCAATACATACACACCAGAAAATCATCTTTGCCACAAAATCCACATTTTTTATTTTGGAAACCACTCTAATAATATTTTTTAGTGAAATTTTCATTAAATTAATATTTTTTTTAACAAAATTTTTTTAAATTTTTGAATTATTAAAATATTTTGTTTTTTTTTTTCTGTTTGACATTTTCTTTTATTTATTTCATTTAAAAGCTCAGTTCGAGAAACCAGTGCTGGAAATTTATTTTTTACTTATTCTTATTGGGTTTTGATTGAGTTTTTATCAAAAACCAGTTGAAAGTAGTTTTTAATTTGTATGGAAAATCCAAAGAAATTTTAGTAGTTTTTCAAACAAAAACCAAATAAAGCCAAATATTTCTAGTTTTTGTTTGGTGTAAACGGCATATAAAACTCTTTGGTTTTTCCATACAAATTAAAACTAGTTTTTTTATAAAAACCCAATAAAAATAACTAAAAACAAAACTTCCAGCTCTGAATAAGCTTTTAAAAAGCTTTTATAAAGAAAATGTCAGAATGAAAAAAAATAAATATTTTAAAATATTTAAAATTTACTGAAATTTTGTTAAAACCAATAATAAAGTTATATTAATTTTATTAAAAAACCGGTATTTAAATAATTTCTAAAATAAAATAAAGATAACATTAATTTGTATATGTATAGGTAAGTTAACGTCAGAAATAATCAAAAACTCTCGGTATAAACGTATTGGTTTTTAAAATTTTGTTTTTCGAAAACCAACTAGTTTTTGATTAGGTGTAAATGGCATATTATAAATATATTAAAAACAAAAACAAAATTTTGAATTTATTTGTTGTTTTCAATATAATGTTTTTTCGCATTTAGAGAAACCGTCCTTTATAGCAACATTTCTGTATATAAAAGCAACATTTTTATAAATATGTATCTTTATTTAGCAACGAGTTATCTGCGTTTAAGTGATTTTCGGGAAGGGGCTTTCCTTGTATGGTAACTATGACCAAATATGGACCCATCGTGAAAAAAATATAAAATAACATTTCGGTATACAAAGGTAATATGTGTACCAAATTTTGACTGGATATCATCATTTGATAATGAGATATGTATGTTTAAATGATTTTATGAAGGGGACATTGTATTGGAGCTATGACCAATTATGAACCGATTCAGAAATTTTTTTCTCTGGATGATTTCTACTGATATAAAACTTTAACTTGCAAAATTTTTTGAAGATTTCGACATTCGAACGTACATATGTATGGGAGGTATATGCAATTGTGGACCGATGCCGCCATTTTTCAACAGGAATAAAGCTCATGTATAGAAACAAATATGTAATGATTTTCATGGAGTTATATTGCACAGTTTTTGTGAAAATTACGTTAGAATATTTGAAAATCTTATTTTTTTCGGAGTTTTTCAAATTTTGATTCATAACTTTTTCCGATGTAAACCGATTTTGCTCAGTTTCAATACCAAACTGCCTAGGATAATAATAAATATTTTGGATGAATTTCGTTAATTTTTGTTCCTTCATGTTAACGTGAGAATGTTTAATACAGACAGGCGGATGGACAGACGGATATGGCTAGATCGACTCAGAATTTCATAAGATCTAAGAATATATATACTTTGTCTCAGATGAATATTTCTGGGTGTTACACACGGAATGACAAAGTTTTATATACCCTCTATCACCACTGATGGTGGTGGAGGGTATAATAATTTCTAATATGGGGTCAAGCTCTAAAAATTACTTTTTATATACTTATGCTTATTCCGTAAATCAATAGGTTAAAAAAAGAAGTAAAATTCCAATCCATAGTGAAATTATTTCCATAATTTCATTCTTGGGAAAAGTAAAACGACATTTTTCGGTTAATTTTGAACTTATTTGTAATTATTGGCATTTCTTAAAGTTTTTTTATGAATATATTTACTAAATATTATCTTATAATTTTTAACTCATAAAAGGAACTTTTAATTATTTGACGTATTAATCTGTAAAAGGCAAACAAAATCGATATCAATATGAATAAAACTCAATATATTTTTGTATATGTAATGAAAAATTCATGTACATGTAACGCATGATCGATAACAGACCTTAAAAGTCAACAATGAACTACGACATCAGAAGTACTAAACGAGGCTGAGTATAAATCGACTTAAGAATAATGGATGTTTGGAACTGGCAATAAAAAGCCGGAAGAATAATTGAACTCATAGAACGTTGTATCGCTATAAGATGATAACGTAATTATCTTACTCAAACGAAAATGTGTTTGGAATGACTGCAAAAAATTATTTGGTCAATATACATACATATGTAAGTAAAACCTTTCAGATAATTTAAAAAAAAAATTGTTTTTCAAGTGAGTTCTTGCATAATTATGTATGTTTTACAAACTTAAAAATTGGTTTACATTTTTACAATATCTCTAAATGTCAAAAAATATTGACAGCAAAATTGTTCAGTTGCAGTGATCATGTTCGCGTTAATTTGTATGAGGTGGCAGTAAAATGGTGCATAATTTGGTGAAACTTTTAATACCATTTTCTTGCAACCAAATGATGTTTTTCGTTTGCAAATGTTATCCTTAGTTTACAACTCAAAAGTAAGTTTCTATCATGGCCTCACACCAATTATGCACATGTCATGTCAGACATGAACCAAATATAATTGGAATTTGCCTTGCAGTGGCTGTCGATCGCACAGTTGCCCCAATTGTTGTCAATCAGCCCGCATGGCGGATGTGCGTTTTATACTTGAGTTGCTTTGCCGGTACAATTAGGAACGTTTCGTGTTTCATTTTTCGCTCATCGCATGTACATTCATACATACATACGTACATATCAAATAATACATGAGGAACAAAAAACAAAATAAATACATACATCTAGAAACAGAATACAAAAAATGTTAAAACAAGAAGTGCTTTATAGAAAATGAAGAATGTATAACGAATAAAGTAAACATAAAAAATATATTCATGATGTCTCATGGACAGAGTGATCGCGGAACCCTTCAAATAACCCATGTATACATTTTTACATCATATAGAGCTCATTTGCGGTAAGCGCACAACTACATATGTACATAAATATGTATGTATTTATGTACATAAGAGGTAACCAGAGGAATGCGATACCTCTTCCTGTCTCAAAAAACACATCTTTGTGTGATTAAAGAAAAAATAAAATATTTATAATAACTAATAGCAAAGAACAATGAAGTAAAAATCTCAGCTTTTAAAATCTGTGAAAGTTATTGATGTATTAAGGAACTTTTATAAATATTTAATAAAATAATG